ACAGTGTGGTGCTTTTGCCACTGTATCACCAGAGCTCCCACCCTCCCAACAGGCTGTGTTTCCCGAAGTAGATTGTTCTAACTAAATCCACCCAAGATGCCTCTGGGTGGATTTAGTTAGTAGCTGAGTTTGTTAACTGCTTCTACCACCCAGCAAATGCTTACTTTGTGCCCTGTGTTAAACACTTTGCATTGCCTCATTGAAATCTTTCAATCACCCTTAGGAGGTAGTCCCGTTTGCTATATGAGAAACTTGAGATGCAAAGCCCTAATCCAAATTCACTGAACCAGCCAATGGTAGAGTCAAGCCCAGGCCGGCCTGACTGCAGCCCTTTCAATCACAAGGCCAGCCTGCTTGTCCCTTTCATGTGCGGGTCAGACACCAGACCTCACCCCAACGCCTGGCAGAAGGGCTGGTTCTCTGCTGCATTACTCATTTCTCAACCTGCCTTCCCAGAGCACACAGGCAAGGAAAGCCATCCACAGCTCTGTCATAGCAAGTTCTCATGTGTGAACGAGGGAAATAAAAACACAGAATCTCATTCTAACTCAGCAATCTGTGACCTGCTTTATCTTCTAAGCCAAGCTTCTGGAGGTCACAGACTGAGACTTCACCTCCGGCCAAACCTGGGCTTTTGTTCACCCTGATTTCTGGCCCATTTTCAGCACGCTGGGCTGAGGAAGACAAAGAGGCCCCAGGCTGGTGAGTAACCAACCAGGAATGGGATGGATTGGTTGGTACTGGGTGCTGAGCAACTATCTGATGCCATTGTCCTCAACTGGGTCACTCTGAAGAAGTTCCTCAACTCCCTGCCTCCCCAGCCTCAGTGTCCAGCCCTTTGTGCAACACTGACTTCAGAAGTGAACTTCCAAGAGCTGCAAGTGGGCAGAACCTTGGAAAGCACCAGACAGGGTGACGTGGAGACCTCCCTGAGAAGCAGCCCAGAGCCCATATATAGTAGGCGCTCAATCAATGTTAGTTGACTAGAGTACGGAGGTTACTATTGCCTCAGACTAAACCATGCACAACGTGTCAGGATGCTTCATGTGCTAGTAAAGCTCTCTCTCACACCCGATGACCAGATACACAGCCCCGTATGCCCAGCTGTCTTCTCATCTGCTGGCCCAAGCCACCAACTCCTCCTGCCGGAGCTCACTAGAGCCTCCCAACTGGGCCCTCCCCAATTCCATTCTCTACCCCACATCTTCTGGGTCATATCATGGCCCTGCTCCACCCTCAATGGCTTCCCACATAGAATGTACCCCAAAGCCACTGCCATGGTCTACAAGCCCTAAAGATCTGGCCCAAGTCCCTGTCAGATCTCGTTTGCTCACTGCCCCCAGGCCTTTGCACACACTGTCCGTCTTCTAGACCACCACCTCGTAGGAGACCCCGCCTGCTCAGTATGCACTCTGGCTGCAGTATGCGCTATGCTTCTTGTCCACATCAGGAAGTGTCTTTTTGGTGTGTTCCTAGCAGTGCCTACAGACAATGCTACAGGTGCTTAATCACCAACCAAGGGATGGACGTGGTGTTTGAAGAGCAAGGTCCTTTGAGGACGTCTTCCCCGGTCTCCCCCGATTGCTCTGCACTCCACCCCCTTTTCTGGACTCACTGGAGCGGTGTGTCTCCCCTTCCCTGGGGGACTGATTTTGCACTCTACACAGAGATTAATAAGTGGCAGCGGAATGATTGTGACAGGAAGGCCTAGGACGCAAGGAGGCCACCTGAGTATGTGCGAAGAGTAACTGTCGCCCGCATCACTTCCAAATTGAGCGATTGGTTATGATCGCCCGGGATGGGAGTTCTTTGGATCTAAAGGACCAGATCCCTGGGGGCCTCGTTCTCTCGAAGCATCCCTCAACGGCAGCCCCAAAAATAGCCAGGGTGAATAGTGGCATTCTGCACATCATCTTGCCAGGCAGCAGGGCTGCAGGTCCCTGGAGGAGGGACCTCTGGGTAATGAGCTTTAGGAGAATGGCGCAGCTTTCCTGCCAGGAGCACCTGACCCCCACAGGGACTACTACCATCTACAGAGCCAGTCCCCAGAGACAGGCCCCCCTCAGTTCCTCCCGAGAGGGACTGGGGGAGGAAGGGCTGACTTCATCATAAGAGTTACCATTCATGTCATCTACTATTAACTAAGGGGCGGCAGTGGCTCTGTGGGAGAATCCTCCATCTATAGCACCCTGGAGCGATTCCTGACCAATGTACCTCACGTGTAGCCAGTAGGGGCTTGCATGTTCCTGTGATGCGGAACAAGTTTTGGCAGAGGTTTCAGACTACGATGGACTAGGAAGAAAAGCTTGGCGGCCTTCCAAAAACCAACCAATGAAAACCCTATGGATTCACAAGGTCTGATCAAACTGACTGTGGGTGAGGCACAGGACTGGGCAGGATTTCATTCTGTTGTGCATGGCATCTCTAGGTTTGGGGGCCAACTCCAGTGCAGCTAATGGCAACACCATCACGTACTAAATGCTCAGTGACCAGAACTTTACCGGAGAGCCGTTCCCCTGCCTTGAGAATGCCCTGAGGCACAGCACAATCTCCCACCAAAAATTTGTTCATTTTTTAAAAGGCTGTGCAGCTGAACTTCTGCACTAACCAGGCACACACAGGCCCCCTCCCCATGATGATGAACGGCAGCTGGGCAGCGGAGGCCAGGCTACAGGAAGAGGGCTGGCCTGGCCTGTGTGTGTGGCGCTGCTTTCTCCTCTCAGAAGCATGGACGTCTGGCGGTAGGCTTCCGTAGTGTCATGTCAGGCTCCACCAGGGGGACATGTACCCAGGGTGTGTGTGACATCACCCAGTGCTCCGCCATTACACCCACAGGAAGCAAGGGAACACCTTCTCTTGTGAACTATCAAAACATGGACACCAAGGCCCTACACGTCACAATAACTCTGAAAACTAGAACTTGCTGTACGGTGTAGTCTCTTTGGAAAAAGGCCTTTTGTCATGCACTGCACAATATACTTACGTCTTTTCCCATAGGTTCTGAAACCATTAGGGAAGCACAGACAACCACCACGTGAGTCACTGTCTCAAAGGCCCTCAGCAGCTGGGAGAGTCAGCCCCGCAATGACATAGGTTTGGTCAGCACTTATTCTTAGAAATGCTGGTTAGGGTGATGCCTGAGGCACATCCCAAAGAGAGCAGCAGCATCCGCCCCTGTCTGGAGTGAGAGCATCGCTGTGGGAATACAACAGAGCCCCCGACCTTCAGAGAACCATCTCAGAGAATCAGCAAAGTAAGATTTCCTTATTTTATCCAGCAAATCCTCGTCTGACGACAGCCAACCCATTCACAGGCAGGCACAGACTCGCTGTTGGATTTCATTGTTGTTGTTGTTAGGTGCCATCAAGTCATTACCGACCCATAGTGCCTTTATGCACAA